GGGTCTTTTTCTCAGCTCAGCTACCAATGTGCTGGAGTTCAAGTTCCTGTTTGGTATAACTTGTTTTTTGTTTTTTTTTCTCAGCTTTTAATGCTATAACTCTCCTTCTGTCAAAAATGTCTCTTTGTATCAAAGACTTTATTTCATCATCAACCAGCGTTTGTAATGATCTGGTGGGGAAAGACATTTGCACATTATCCATGTTGAGGAAACGCAAACGTTGACTGACTACTGTTGTTTTTGATGCTGGTGCTTCAGGTTGCTTGTGTGTCGCTCCTGGTTTAAAACTGGTGCTAACATAGGACAAGGTTATTGCGTAAACTCTGATTGAGAATGAGGAACATGGGGTAGACACTTCGTAAGTTTTCACTCTTGTGAACCATACGGGAGCTGGGTTGAGAATCTCAGGTCTACATACTATAAGCTGTAGTTCAAATCAAATGAGTGTTTTCAGTAGTTTAATGTGCACTTGTTTTGAAAATTGGAAATCTCACTACAGTCTTACTTCTGTCACCTCACCAAAGTTCACAACTGGCAGGAATTAGCTACCTAGAATTTTATACACAAAAAAATAACTGCACATATGGCCAAGAGGATTAAAAATGATATTGGATTGGAGTCAGTGTCCCATCTCTCCACACAACTTCTGTGTTCAAAAAATGCAAACAGCTCATCTCTAATTGGCATCACTCCATGCTCTGGGAAACTTTATCTTTTATATTATACCTTTTGACTCTATGTGACTGATGTCATCAGAAAAGTATATTAGGACAAGATATTATTTCCTAATCTACTCTATGAATGCTTATATTTTTGTGTCGGTGGCACCTAGAAATGGTTGGCAAGGCCTTAGGGTCATGTTCTGACAGGGTGATGTTTTGGTGAACATACACACAGTCTCCTCTGAAAGTGTTGGAACAGCAAAGCCAATTCTTTTTTTTTGTTATACACTGAGGACATTTGGGTTTGAGATCAAAACATGAATATAACGAGATAGATCAGAATTTTAGCCTTTATTTACATCTACATGTGTTATTTCCTATATTTACATCTACATGTGTTAACTAACTTAAAACATGACACTGTTGGTGGCAGACCACCCAGGTTTTTCAAAAATATTGGAACATGTGACTGACAGGTGTGCTCTGTTAGATCGATTGTTTAACACTCTACTGCACGCATGAGTAATGGATAAAAAATATGGACTTTTCTTCAATAAAATAGACCTGATTATTAAGATCAAAAACATTAAAAAAAAACAATGTGTGCAAGGGTGCAACACACAGGGTGTGTTGCCTTGAGGCAACTTTGTGTAACACTGGAAAGCAATGGTACAGACCTGTGTTCCCTGAAGTTGCTGCATAAGTAACACTTTGCTTGTGACTGACTAAATCCATTCCACTGTCACACAATTTTGCTTCTAGGCATAACATATTTCTGCAAATTCTCATAACAAAAAATATGTATTTGATACTGAATGTTAAAAAATTAACTTCACACTCCAGTGAATGTTTTTGCATGAAAATAATAAATATTTGCTTTTCTTATGAAAGTTGTCTATTGCATAAATATGTTTCATCCACAAGCTGCACCATCCAAAAAAAAAGGTTTAAAAATGCCTGCTGAGAGATTGTATGACTAAGTCCATGCTTTTATTGGCTTACTCAAACTCTTCCCTTTATTATTAACCCTGGCATTATCATTACAGATGTATAATGTCATTGTGAAGTGAGCAGAATGGGTTTGTCACCTGAGGCAAAATTGTGCAATAGAGGGTTAAAAAATTTATACTGAAACAGATTTTTTATTTTGATTACTTAAGCTGAACATTTTGCTGTTGTCGGGACAAAACTATGAACCTCCGTTTTTGTAATATTTCATTTTTTTTGACATCATTTGAAATTGCCAATTGTCCTTAACACTGTGTAAAACTTTCACAATGAATAAACAATAGAAATAGTTCAGAATGACTTGGAATAAATCATTTCTCCATTAACTTCCATTAAAAGTTAAGAAAGTTTTTTTTTTCTTCTACTGTAAAGTTACCTTTTTGGTGATAGAAGGTTTAGTTCCAAAAGTGACAATTCATCACTGGCTTTACCAATCACTAAGGACACTTAGGCTGGTTTTTCCTTGGAAATGAGATTGTATGAGTGGGAATGTCTTATTTCTTCCAGAGCTGGTCCAGGGCTGGTTTGTTGTGGCTCAAAGAACTAGATAGAGTGAACTTATCCTGTCAGTCACTCAGTGCCCTCCATCAGCATTCCCCTTCCATCATTTAGACTGAGGATTAAAAGCCAAAACCCTGTGCCTGGTTACCAAACACACATCACCACTCATGGACCAAACACACAAAATGTTAGAGCACAGGAATGATGTCAGATTGATGTTTTATTAAAAAGAGATATGCCTTTGATTCCACTGCAAATAAAGGAACACACTGCAAATGGTTTGTTCACTAATCCAGCATTAGTGTGCCACACAGCTTTGTGATGTTTTCCCGTTCCATATTCCTTTATTTATTCATGGTAACTAATAAATGTTGTAAAGCAATGGTCTGTTTTGTTTTCAGTACATTGAAGGCCTAATTATCCAGGCTTAAGCCAAGAACAGATAAAAGATGCGGTGCTGGTTAGCGTGTATAAGTGGTTTAGCGTTGTTATTGCATTTACCAGTTCCTGAGCAAGAGTTTGAGGCACTACAGCTCACGAAAACCAAGAATGACTCCCAGCTGTGTTCTTTTCCTACTCTTGACACAAGTAACTGCCAGCTTTGAGTGGGTCATTAGAGTTCAGAAAGGTGGCCGTATTGGGATGTGTGATGGTGGCTTTGCGTTGCTAAGAGGAAAGCACATACGACGCATTTCTGATCAACCTGAGTACATCGCCAGCGACTTTGAAAGAAGCAGATGGACCTTTGATAGGACCAGTTTTGATAACTTTGGAGGTTTTGGCTCAGGACAAGATAATGACGTCCACAGTCAGCAACATGGTCAATTCACCTCTGACATGGTAAGGATGAGTTATTGTTGAATCAGTTTGAAAAAGTCAGACTGATACTTTGCATATAAAGCATTTATAACTAACGCATTTGCATTCTCAAAATAAAGTTTCTAATAAGGGTTCTCTAAAGGAGATTTCAATGCATAGTTCTTTTTAAAGTTTAAAGAAGGTTTTTCCTAGAACTGTATGTTCAAGCCAAAACTCTTTATTTTTAAGAGATTGAGATTCACACATTTAGGTTTTCTTGAGTAGTTAGTTTAAGTTTTAGATGCGATAAATATCTGGCGTAGGGCGCATTTAGAGCATTTGGAGTCATTTCTATTCTGTCCTCTTTCATTGCAGTCGGGCTGCCGTGGGATCAAGTCATAGAGGTGCAGTGAACCATCGGACTGTGCTGGATGTCTGGGTCTCTATTCCTGCAACATCTCCATCAAAAAGTGCCAACTAAAGGGACTGTCACGCATGCCCAGTAGGTCATCATCTCATTTTTTTGGCAAATACATTATATATCACCATGATATTTAATAAACCTAGTTGACTGTAATACTATTAAAATTGCCAGCTAATTATAATTTAGTGACTTAAAGCTGCACTATGTAAGATTTTTTGGTTAAAACTGGAAGAAGCAGTATCACTGAGTCAGGAGAAGGAAAAAAACACACCAAAATATGGTGTTAATGCACTGCTGCGAGACGCCCTGTACAGACTGAATGATTATTTAAAGGTCAGAGGTGTCGAGTTGGTTTCACAGTTCTTTGGAACAATTATCATACGTCTTTACATATTAACGCTACACACACAGGGTCAAGCTCGATGTTTAGGTCTCAAATACAAACTCAACATTACACTGATATGAAGACAATAGTAAGTGATTCACTGCCACCTTCAGAAGACACATACATCACCAAGTTTTAAATACTCTTTCAAACATTCATTCCCTTGGAGAAAGGGTCCAGCCACTACATGTCCTTCCACAATTACACATTTCCACCAGTGATCCCCAAAACCTACATGGTGTAGCTTTTAATAAAGCTATTAATTAAAATATTATGTTGAATATGCAATTTTTCACCTTGAATATGCTGTAATGTGTATGATTCTAACAAATTTTATGCTTATTTTTCTTTACAGGCAGATTCCAAAAAAGCCTGGAAAACATCTGAAACCAGCACACAAACCCTTACCATTTTAAAGATAAACTGATCATGCTGTCTTTCGTTTTGTATATAGCTCCTTTGACATTTGAGTCTGAAATACACAGTTGCATCAAAACTGTAACAAATTGTTATTCCTTCTCTCTGCAATACTGTCCACTTATAGTGAAACTCTGGGAATTCCTCTTTTTGTAACTCGTGGCATTAACAGAAAATTTTGCCAAAAGTTTCTCAAAAACTTTTTTTATAGCAGTCAGATTCACCGGTTGAAGAATGTTATTTTCATGTGTAATCTCATTTTTGGAAATAAAAAAGCTTTGATATACTTTGATAGACTGTGTACTCTTATACAGTTGTATGCAAGTTGAAAACATAAAGGATCAAATGAGGCCTGTGGAAAAGTTCTGGCACGTTTTATATTCTATTTTTTTCCCCAAAATGTTAAGCGCATCAAAGTGCATCAAATAGAAACTCATCAAATGTGCACTAAAATTTGCAGAAAAATGCCATATTTAAGCTTGTTCCCTATAGAGGATACATTTTGCATATGACTGTGATGCTGGATGTTCTGTATACAGCCATGAAGAATGGACTTAAATATTGCAGTATGGACTTAATGTTGAAGTTTCTCTTTTGTTGATGATTATGTAAAGAAAAATGTCTTGTGTTTGAGAACTTCCTGATTTCAAGGGTGCCATGAAAATAACAACTGCTTCACACACACACACACACACACACACACACACACACACACACACTCTTCCTCAAAACAATGGTGCAATACAGGAGATTTACTTGACAGTTTATAAAGGCAGAGGAGGGGTGAAATGTTCAAATGCAGAAGCTCAAGGAAAGAATAAAGAACCCCTCCATCGCTAATTGTAGTGATTAACAGTGGCTCATTTCAGATGCTTCAAGCAAGGCATTAAGGTAAAGGAACATTTTAGAACAAAATTGTTTTGTTAATGTAATAGATACATACACATTTATGATTCTGTGCTCTGAGAAGTTCAGATAAAAGTAAACAATTTTGACAACCACCTTTAGAAGATGACAAAACATGAAACAATACAGAAATTCAGGTTGAAACAGTGGATTTTTGCATTTTCGTCAGTGTCATAACACATTTTCACATATAATTTTATTGCTAACTGTAATTAGCTAATGTAATTCATAAAGTATACTTTAGGCAAAAATACCAGTTTTATTCATGCCCCACACCTGTAATTTCAGTCTTCAAATAAAGAAGTTACTGAATTATAAAATGACATCTTTGCAACTGAAACTATTTTATACAAATGTTAAAACACATGATCGGTCATTCATGTCATTTTTTCCATAACTATGTATGTTCCCACATCTCTGCTATGATACTGACAAAACTGGCAAAATGTTTTTTTTTCGAAGACAAGCAAACCTACTTCTGATGGAAATATAAATTAGCCAAAAAATAAATGCATAAAAATGTGGGAAACTTAAACTGGATGTCTCTGGACTTACAGAAGGCAAAGTATTTAGCATCTTGTTCTATTCCATACTTTCTGCATGTCCTTGTTGTAGAGCTTGTAAGTGTGTGTTTTGAAGTAGACTTTGAAAAAATGATAATCACATTTAATTTAAATATATTAAAGTTGTCTGCTACAGTTAATGTAGCAGGTCATGCTTTTTGCCATTTATGCTCAAAAACAGTAAAGATGTATTTACCATGACCTTACCACAACAGCTCAGAACATTGATGATTCAGATTAAGCTTTTAAAAATAAAAGGAAATTTGCATGTTAGCTCACTATTTGAGTTACAGACTCTAATAATTAAATTTTATTTTTATTGTCCATTAAAAAACATATGTACAGTCAAAAGTGCCTGAAGTCCAGTCATATTAGTGCTTTCCAAAAAAAAAGTCTCTTTAGTTTTGTTAATTTTTATTTTTCTATACCATTTGATGACAGCAGCTGTCCTTTACATTGTGCAAAAAATTGTGATGAATGGACAAATAGAAATGCTCCAAAATTACCTTACATGATTACTAACTTACATGAAAAGTTAAGATTATTTTTACCTTCTCCTATATAGTTACCATTTTAGAGATACTTGTTTTTTTCTTTTTTGGGGCAGCAACAATATATAGACATTACTTCAACTTTGTCTCAAAGGGTCTATGTTCTATTTTCTTCTCATATTTTATTTTATTATTCAAGGTCAACTTATGAAATTATGAGTGGTTTTATGTACCTAAAACAGTCATTCATTTTTATATGACCATTTTCCAAGCTTTTCTTTTAATTACTATGTCTTTAAGACTGATATAAGCAAGTGAGCTCTTTGCTGATTGGCTGTCCTGTATTATGCCTTCAAAAAGCAGTCCAGGCTGAAACACTCCTTACAGCCTCAGCATGTGGTGCTAAACTGCTGCAAGTTGAATAGGCATGTTTATAAATGTGTTGGTTTTCATGACATCACAAAACCAATAGGTTCTAAATTGGCTGGTTTTGCAGTTCACTTTCCATATATGGACTGCATGGACTGGGGAGTAAGTGATACATTTTATGATAATAATAATAGAAGTTACAATTATATAGCACTTTTCACAATCCCAAGGTCATTTTACATAAAAAGGAAGTTTTCATCAATAATTTAAAATTCAGTTCATTATGAATCCTTTAAAATAAAAGAATACCTATGAATTGACTAACATTGTATGTCGTTCTTCTTTTTTACAGCATGCCAGCCACCTTATGGACAATCACACTTCCATCTCTGTTATTCTTTGTGGTCAGACCCACTGTTTCGGTAAAAGAAGATGGCATTTTTCATGTCTGTTCCTGTATGAGGAAGAACTGGAAGGACTTATCAAACCACAACTTGAACAGGATACCATCAGACTTATCACATGACACTGAATGCTTAGACATGTCGCATAACAAAATTTCAAGTATTGTCCATGGTGACCTTTACAGGATGACTCACCTCTGTTTCCTGACGATCACCCACTGCGGCCTTCAGTTTATATCCCCTGATGCCTTTTATAATAACTCAGAACTTAGGGTTCTGAACGTCTCCTACAACCAGCTGACTGTTATTCCATATTTACCTTTGCTACAGCTTAGGATCCTAGATCTTTCCAGTAACAACTATGACAGCTATGGCCTTCCAGGCTTTTTTAACAACTTAACACATCTAAGTGACTTTGCAATAGGGAGTCCTAGAGCAACTTCAGTGTCCATTAATGATCTGGCACCTCTTCAGAATGCACCATTAAAGCGATTAAGTTTTGGAGATGCTTCTAAGTTGCAAAAGTACGAAACTGGATCTTTTGCTCAGCTCAGATCTTTAGAGAAAGTGGCTCTGAGAGTAACATTCTGTCAAAGTTTTCATATTTTCAAAAAAATGCTCATGGACCTCGACCATACACGTACAAAGAAAGTCAAGCTGGTGAAGCTCTTTCCGCAACAATGTACTGTCACAGGTGATCCTTTTGACAGCCTTCCTAAGCTCCGCTTCATCAGCGACTTAACCGTTGAGGACACTTGGATGAACAGCTCTGTTATGGTCAAATTAATACTTAACATTTGGAAATCACCTATTGAAAAAATTGCATTTCGAAGTATAACTTACAACGAGGACACTCCCTACGGATTTCAGTTCCCTAAACAGAACTGCACAACCAGATTACGAGCAATTGTTTTTGATGGTGTGAAACATTATCAATACCAGTATCCTAAGATCAACATGAGCACAGAGTTAGTATCTCAGCTGACATATCTGAAGTTCTCTGGAACTGGAATGAACATCCTTCCATGCAGACTCATTTCAGTTATACCGTCACTGCAGATCTTGGACCTGTCGGACAATCTTCTGGATGATACCGGGTTCTGGTGGTTCTCCTGCTCATACGAAGGCGTGTTTCCTGCTTTGAAGCATCTTTCACTCAGCCATAACCGCTTCTATGACCTGGCATTTATTTCTAAGAAGACTCACGAAATGAAGGTCCTAACATCCCTGGACTTAAGTTTCAATTCAATTGTCATAAAGAAACCATGCTCCTGGCCTTCTCACCTGACCGATCTGAGCCTTAGCCATAACAACTTAGGCAACACTGTCTTTAAGTACCTGTCACCTTACTTCCAAAAGATCGATCTCTCCAAAACAGGCATAAGTGTCATCTCCAAAGATGTCATCTCACGGTTTCCCAGACTTACACATCTCTTCTTGAGCTTTAACAGCATACAGTCTATCCCTTCCTATCTCCATGCACCTGCACTGCTAACCTTGTATGTCGATCAGAATGCGATCACCTCCATTGACCACAATGTGCTAGAAGGCCTCCCCAGTCTGAAGACTCTAAAAGCAGGTAATAATCCATTTGTATGCGATTGTGACTCTTTTTGGTTTGTGACAGCATTAAATAAGACACTTCTCCTCGACTGGCCATTTGATTACACTTGCAGCGCTCCAGAATCACAAGCAGGAATGACCCTGCAGAAGTACCAGCAGAGTCAGCAAGGGACACTGTTCTGCCAAGCCGGACTCCAGGCAGTGGCGGCTTTGTCAGTAATTATTGTCACAGTAACTGTCTTGGGCATCACTTTCTATACCTGTGATGGCGTCTGGTACACCAAAATGCTCTGGGTATGGATCAGGGTGAAAAGGCGGAAGAGCAAACATGCTGACAGATTGATGAATGCCACTTTCCATTACCACGCATTCATCTCCTACAGCCAGCATGACTCAGCCTGGGTGGATTCTCAGCTAGTTCCAGCTTTAGAGGGCTCCGGGCTGTCCATCTGCATTCATGAGCGAGACTTTGAACCTGGCCAGTGGATTGTGGACAACATCATTAACTGCGTGGAAAGCAGCTACAAAACCCTATTTGTCCTATCAAAGAACTTTGTTCAGAGCGAATGGTGCAACTATGAGCTCTTCTTTGCTCAGCACAGAGCTATCAGTGTGGAAGATGACTCTTTGGTCTTCATTCTGTTGGAGCCCATCCCGGCAGACTCGCTGCCCAAGAAGTTCCTGAAGCTCAGAACCTTGCTAAGGAAGCAAACCTACCTGGAGTGGCCGAAAGACGATCAGAAGAAGAAGTTTTTTTGGTCTAGTCTCAGGTCCATCCTACAGACTGCAGACAAAAGCATTATTCTGAAGGAGATTGCTTTAGACATGGCTGAAAATTGTTCTTTACTGGGTGCTCAGGGGTGAGATTCCCTATTCACTGGCAGTGGAACTTATGAGGAACTTATCAGCTTAGAATTAGGCAGGGTGTTATTGTTGCAGTGCCTTCAACTTAACTTCAGAGTGAGTGGGTGGAGATAAACTGCTGTAGGCTAAACAGGCAGATGAATGTATATATGTTGGGTTTGGTGACATGATAGAAACTACTAATTTGCAGCTTAGCTTCCATGTATGGACTGAGGAGTGAACAGTATGTTTTGAAACTTTAGCAATATTTTATATGCTACATCAAACTCTTATCATAAATTTTTTTTTCCATGATATGGGCCCTTTAAGTTATTGATTAAAGCAGCAAATATTTTCAATAAATAGAACCCAAAATGTTGTTGCACATAATAAAACTTTTAAAAGTAATTATTACTATATTTGTAATTATCACTTTTTACACGAGTGACTACTCAAATATTTTGTGGAAACAAATGGCTTCAAAATAACTGGAATCATGTATTTTAGGGGATTCTATTTAGACCTGAATGATTTATTAATAATCATTTTCTATTGAAATCACAGTTTCAAAAAGTTCAATTCAAGTCAGAAAGGTGACAATTTTAAGTACATCCCACATATCAACAACATTGTCTTAAGTTTTAAGTGGGGAAATCCTAATAACACAGAGCTTGTGAAATGCCTGTGGATGAGTTTAACCAATCAAAAGCAACCAAACAGCCATGTGTTGTGAACAGGACAACACTCAGACAACAAACCTGCAGTCTGGCAAAAGACAAAAAAACAAACAAAGCTCAATCTTAAATAGACACAATACAACATAATCACAATTTAAATAACACTGACAATATTTGTTTAGACATTGACCGCTGGCAATGACCTGGTAATCTTAAATACAAAATACCAACATGGTAAATATTACAAATACTTATAAAATGAAGCCAAACCTCACATTTAGCATGAAGATAATATCTTATAACTCAAAATTAGCTTTATATGGAAACTATTAGGAAGAGCTATTTAACGGAAACCACCAAAACTGCTAAGAATGCAGGTAAGCTCTGCCTTCACTATTCAACAGAAACTCTACTCAGTCAAAAGTTATCAGTTTCACTAACCTAAAAATGAAGAAATAGTTAAACACACATGATATGTTTATTTTAGTATGAAAGTTGGATTGTTCTTTCCTGTCTGTTGTTATGTTTACTTCTCAAATCAGTTATTAAATTTCACAAGTTTACAGTTGTGATTAGGTTTATACAAGGCCCAAATGACTGAGGCTGTTTGACTAGCATTTTTTTCCATGTAATGACTGCTGCTCTCTGGGAATATTTTATTGTGTGCTCATAAACCCCGTTTTTTGTTGTTGTCATAAACTATTTAATTATTCCAGTAATCACTGTCTATAGTCGGCAGACATGTAAAACCACTGAAAAGTTTGACAATGTCTCCACCTGCTGTTAAATACCTGGAACACAAAATATTGTTTACAATGCACCACTGCTTTTTCACTAGATAGTAAGATAAATAAAACACATAGGGGAACTTGTATGATCATAATTGTTCTTCATAATTGGATTGTTGTGCTATCTTGGGAGGTACTGTTTTATTTATTCATTTAGTTTTTATTCAGAAAGCTGTGTGTCCTTTATGATTTTGAATGTTCCAAAACAAAGGCAGCTTACACTTTGATAATGCTATAGAGATATTTCAAGAAAACATAAATCATGGATCATGGATGACTTAACTACTGCTGAAAAGAAAAGTATGGACAGTAACAAGAGTGCAAAGCAAAATTATATTGTCACTGTTAGATCTCTTTTTTTCTTTTTTTCTCCTTTTAGTATATATATATATATATATATATATATATATATTACACAGGAAACAAATATGGTCTTATATATATATATATATATATATATATATATATATATATATATGAGATTGTATTATGTTACACAAAGATGCAATGTCATATATGTATAGATAGTGATGTCTGATTGAAAAGCAGAACAGTGCTAAGCTTAACTTTTGAGAATTAGTCTGTTGTCTTATGTATGTACATATATAATATATATGATATAAAACCATTTTCAATAGGATTAAAGACACAGTGTTAATATTTTCAGCATCTACCACTGTTATTCTAAGCTGTTAATAAAAAAGTAGTGAATGTTTGAACAACCCTTGTCAAATTACATGTTTTGTTGATTTTCTGAGTGAAAATAAGTTAACACAGGAAACAAATACGGTCTTTTTTTTCAAATAAAACACATGTAAATGGTAAACAAACGTATAAAATGTGCTTTAACATTTTATGCTTTATTTTTCCCAACGATATGTTAAATTTAGCAAATAAATAGTAATTGTGCGTTAAAATATGTAAAAGTTTGTTCCTGTAGAGGACAAAAAACCAGTGGCATCCAAACTTCTGCATACGACTGTATGTCAGTTATTAACTGACTATAGTAAATTAATGTTTGAGACTCCATTTTGTGTATGTTACTTCGAGCACATTCATTAAGAAGTGATGTCTTACCTGCTCAATGTAGCTTACAAATACAAATATATAAATATAAAAATACAAATATAAAGTATTGAGGTGCTTTAACCACTGGTAAAAATGAAGTTCTTTAGGCTACCTTATAACATATTCAACAAAATGTTCTTGGTTTGGAGAAGAATCCCAGCCAGACTGAGTTCTGTAAAGCACAGAGGTGAAGGCGTCAAAGTCTGGGGCTGTTTTTCTGACAGCAGTGTCTCTGAGCTTGTGTTTATAGAGGAGATCTTGAACTCCGAAATGTACAAAGGCATTTGTGTGCAAACCTGCGGAGGAAGAAAATAAATACAACTTGATTTGACATTTTGTTTCACAGCATAACCTTAATGTTATTTTAATATTAAATTATATCAACTTAATAATATTTTCAAGAATATTTGTATTTAAAACCAAAAACAAAAACCTCTGTTTCAGGCAGTCATAGACACACAGTCATACTCTGACATCTAGCTAACGTCTGGGCTCGCCATTGGTACTACATTACCCATAAACAGGGTGACCTGACGCATGCGCCGTGAGTTTTAACTAGTCCCCCACCCTCCCTCACTCCCCCCCCCCATTTCATGTAAGATGGTGGTTAGACGGTGCAGCCGCTGTACATGGTCATAGAGGCTACTATAAAGGCTTGGCAGTTTCAGTTAAGAGCGGAGAAATAATCCCCTAAAAAAAATCAAGCTCCCAGTTTCCTAACACTTCGGAGTGCAGAAATCTCTCTCATATCCACGTCCCAACTGCTGTGCATAAATCTTGAGAAGAACAGATTTAGACAGGGTGAGTATCCCAAAAGCTAGCTAACCTGGGCTAGCCAGAAAGCAGTAACTTAACTCGCCACAAACCGTGCAACTTAGCTAGCTAACTAACTAGCCAGCCAAAGGAATGACAAAAAAGTTTGCTGTGCACTTTTGTGTGATTGTTTGTGTTTAAACCAAACCGAACAAGCACTGCGCGTAGTCTCTCTTGCGTATCTGTGTTATGGTTGGTCGAGAAAATGTATTTCTGTCTGTTTTTGAAAGTCTTGAAGTCGGCTTGGGAGAGTGTCGGGCTGTGCCGGGGTACTGCAGGCCTCACTACTGAAATAATGATGAGCTCAGGCAGACTGACTCTGTTAGTTAGCCACGTTAGCATCTGGCACTTGCTAGGTTGTTCGGCGCCTCCATCAAATTTTGCCAGCTTATTTACTCTCAGTCGTGCGAGTTTGTGCTGTTCTGTACCAGACTGTATCAACACTATACATAAACACCAGAAGTATTTATGTATATGTGTTGTTGATGTCCGACATTTGATGTAGCTGTTTCGCTAGCCCGCTAATTCGGCTTGTCTGTCAGTTAGCTCGCAAGCTCGTCGCTACACTTGACCGGCTGTTGAACGCCGTGTGGGACAGGACAGAACAGACATCAGCCCTGGGTGTGTTCAAGAGGTGATGGGTTATTTGTGTTGAGCGTATCGCTGTTTTTGTGCATTTTGGTTCTCCCAATAACTCCTCATAAAAGCTAGGTTAGCTTGCTAGCTAGGTTAAGTTAGCATTCCCCGCCCATCGCTTGTTTAGCTATCTAGCTAACCAAGTCACTAACAGTACTATTATGTGATTTCTCGACAAATAAAATGAGAAAGTTGACAGTTTGCAGTATAACCCTAATAAATGTGCCTCCGTGTTGTTCGGGTAGCAAATGTATTAATATTAGGGTAACAATTTACTATTTGCTTTACAGTGTCTAACGTTACCCAGGCGTAGCATTAACGTTAGTTGTTACATTAGCGTTAGTTGTCACACGAAATCTTTACGTTCTTTCCTGACAGACTGGCTAACGTATATTATTTTAGATAATTTGGCTTGTTCCAGCATGACATTAAGTCATAATGTGGCTTCCTTCAAGCTGACGTTTTATATATAGCCTCTGTCAAACTGCTATCATAAGGAGCAACGACAGTTATTTTTTAATATTGGCCTTCTAAATATAAATTGCGAAATTATAACTACATTTAATAGGGAGTCTATAAAAGGATAGGTACTGATTCTAACGGGGCTGTATCATGTGAAGTGTTAATGTAGTATTACTAATTTTGTAAGTGTGCAATCACACATTAATTCCACCCTTGCTGTTTGTTGGCAGTGCACATTTTATGCCTATTTTTATGCTTTATTTCAATTAGCATCACCTTAATGTAAACATAACAAATATAACATACATAATCTGTAGATTTAGAAGAATGCATTTGTTTTGTTACCCTTAAAAGCTGTCTTTTCTTTCATCTGAAATGTTTTAATGCACACATTGTTTACCATGTTTCTTAATCATTACTAGTGATTATTTGAGCCGGTGTGATGGCAAACAGGGTTGTGTTGGAGAAATTAATGTGTGTATATATTTATTTAGGAGACTCATTCAGTTCACTTGAACTGCCAGGTTTTTCTCTGTTTTCCTTTATGTTGCAATTTCACAACAAAGATGAGGTAAATCATTATTTGTAGTCTTGTGTATACATTCTTTCCACCTGTGTCATACTCTTGAAGGCAAGCCTTGGGTTTTCTCATTGGTCGATCATAACATCTAGGCCTATAGAAACATTGCAGCTCAGCAAAGATTAGGGAACTGTTTGCAAGACTCATGTAGCGGAGAACATATTCCTCTTTTAGGAGCAAGGCTGCATTAGAAACATACTGTAGTACTGTGTAATAGTGTTCTCTGCAAGCCTGTAGGCTTCTTTGTGCACACAGTACTTCAATGTGTGAATATAGACTAGCACAGTGTCCATCATATGGACGTTAGACAGCTCCATCTTTGTCAGCGTGTTTGATCCCATAGAGAGCAGTATTCTGACACCAGTCTGTGTGAGATAAAAATAATAATAAAGATGTATGCCTGATCAGATTCAGTTGAAAGGAAGGTTTGCATCAGCATCACTCAATAGACCACTTTCATAGCTACTTTTGCTACTACTTTGCTCCCACCTTTATTTAGCTTTTATTGAAAAACAAGCCTGTCTGTCTGTTTACGATAAGCATTTTAGGTGTCAGCTCTGGCTTTTATTGTGGTTAAACCTTGTTAGGTGTTTTCTAGACATTTTCCAGCCCATTACTGTAGGTGTAGGGCCTTTTATCTTTTGCCAGAAGCATAATGTGGGTGCAGTGTCAGAAATAACCACGGGCAAAGGACAAAAATGCCCCCATGTTCAACATTTTTTACTCCTTAAAACATAAATATAATAAGTCACTGAGAGTAAACATCACTGTCATACTAATAAAGCACAGCTGGCACTTGGTTACACATCACTTCAGCCTCTGATCTTGACCTGATAATTCTATCTATAGATAGAATTAATTTTATTTATTTTTTATTTATTGCAATTGCAGGCCTACGCACATTTTAAGTCTATAGTAGTACTTTATAGGTTTTATGCCTCATAGGCTTTAGAGAGACAGTATTGTCCTACAGTGTGGATCACTGCTTGGTTAGGTTTAAGTGCACAGTGTAGCAAACGTTTGCAAAGCTGCTGTGGCACAATTGCTGTATCTGTGTTTGCTCAGTACTTGGGCATGCAGTGTGTTATTTTGAATGAAACAGCTTTATTTGAAATTGTTCATATAAAGAGCTGTCTGTAGAGGCTGCATGTTACATAGCATGGGCTCAGTGTTTCATATACTGTGAATATATGAATCGTAGGCTTTGTCAGTACCTAGACGTACAGGGTGAGTCACCAAAGGACTTCTGAAATCACAATTGTATGTCTGACTTTAGAAGACAATTAACTACAGCTTAACTAGCCAAACAAAACAAGACAATTGGCCTTGGATGTGATTTCTGCTGTCACTGCGCTATAGAGACTGTTGTTGAAGGAGACAGATGAGGATGAAAACTATGAAACATACTTAATTACAGGTATACAAAAGTACTTTTCTGACGTGGAACAAAACTCACTCTTCTCCACTGCAGCACTGCTCGATCCAAGGTAACAAATGTAGCATAGCTAGCTAAAGTACTTTCTTTAAATTCAGCTAGATTTTAATTATTTAATATTTTAGGTTTTTCAGTATGATATCAGAATTGGTATTGGTGAGTACTAAAAAACTTGTACTAATATTCGTACTCAGGCTGAAATAGTGACATCAGTGTATCCCTAAATTCAATCACTGAACCATTGACTGAAGAGTTATTTACTATGATTTTATGTGAAATGGTTAATTGTAGAGAAACTTACTGACTCAGATTTCTTTACAGCAGTTGTAGTTGAAACCAGGGGTCACAATGTCTACAATGCAGATAAAAGCATGTTATTTACAATCCAAAACCACTGGTGAACTTACATGTGTCTTTTGAGTTTGTGATGTTGATAAAGGTAAAATAGTGGTAAATCTGAACAAATAAGTTTTGTTCTATTTTGCAGTACAATGCCCAGCATGTACCTTTCTGTCATGAATGGATTTAGAGGCATTACATGTTTTAGATCTTAATGATTCAGTTACACAGAAATTAAATAAGTAAAATTTCCCTTTAAGTTCCCGACTTGTACTTAAAATGTTCCTAAATTTTAGTCAGTTAGAGTAAATAGCCCCTTATGTACTTGAAACGAATGATATTTTGAAATATTTTTAAAAAGAGAGAGCCCATTTGCCAGGACTGTCCTTTGTATGAGGTGATGTGAAGTTGGAAGAAATGACCAAGAGGAGATATTAGCGAATAAAAGATTAATGTTGCGGAATCTTCTTGGCCCCATGTGGAGAAGTATGCACTGGCAGATATTGTCTGTGGCAGACACAATGTTGTAAGTCACTTTTTTGGCGAGAGTCACTGCTGATACCTAACACTGTTCCCAGGGGGCACAAGCTGAAGTGTCTAGTTGCATAGAAATGTCTGTGGCGGAAAGCCATAGGAGGCCAGTTACATAAGAACAAGCCTGCAGAGTGTAACAGAGTTGCTTGCATTTGTTAGTATTTGTTTGTGAGTAGGCCCACCTGAAGCTGGTTAGCAGAGTTTGTATAATGTTGTTTACTCAGAGCTTCTGATAAGGCATTATAAGCTTGCACACCTACACAGGAAATTTTCCGCTTTCTCTTTTTGATAGGAATCTTTGAAAAATTATTGGCTGACTTTTCCTTCAATCCGAGCTCTATGCTGTAATAATAAAACATTATTTGTGTTATTAGTAAGCTCAGTTACTATTTATTACAGTCCTATTTCTGGAAGCCAACATGTACGATTTCATTATAGATGAATCAGAGAGGTTGGATTAAGAATATCTTGGATTGTGTTTTCTAGACAAGGATGCTAATTGCTTTAATTGATGGTTTACTGATGTATTACTTAGCCGCTGAGGAAGCGGTAGGGACCCTTTCATTTTCTAAATTCCAGTGATAACATGGCCAGATCTGCTTGAAAATTGTTTAGCCATGGTCTGTTGTTTATTGCAGTGGTGATAGAGCTTTTTACTCTGATTGCCTTTCACTGCAGTTTGGTATGTTTGTTTGATAAAGCTATATCATCAAACTGTCAGCAGTCCTAAACAATGACAAGGTTATTACTTCAACCAGTAACATTTTGAATCTTCTTGTTTTATAAACCATTGCAGCTCCACATTCAAGAGGTTTCCACTGTTGTGTCATTCCCCGGCAGCTACTGCTACCAGATTGTCACAGTACTACAGAGCGTAATAGCCATCAGGCCAGACCACGGACATAAAGTATGCAGCTCTAACTGTCAAACTCTTGTGTTATTCATGTGACATGTGGCACTTCCTCTTAGTATTCACAGGCAGAAAAATGAGAAGTTGGAGAG